TTTTGTAATATCTATTTTATTCTGGAAGGTTCCGAAGCTTTACTGCGCAGGCGCAGGAATACCATTGGTGCAGATTCACAGGTGACTACTCAGGAAACTACAGTTACAGGTAAGCAACTTATAATTCCATGTTTCCTTTTTGTTCATGTTTCCAAGTTTTTGAGGACTGTTCCTGAATCTCATGTTTTGAATTTATTGTTCTTTTGTATTCCTGGTTTTTGATGCTACTCATGTATTTTGACTTCTGTGGATTTATCCTGATATTTGGACTTTGGTTTTTTATACTATTTTGCTGAAGTGCCTCTGTTGCTATTTGGCTGCCATACCAGCAGACTTCCATCTCATAAGAAGTGTTTCCTGTTTCCTAGACACTTTGGTGAAAAGTTTTTGAAGGATTTTTAAGTATTTCCAGTTATGTGTACTATTCTTCAATACAACTTGGAGTTGGTGTTCTCAGTTCTATAAAAAGCCTTTTGAACTGATGCCTTTCTCCTTCAACCTATTTCTGCTTTCCTGGAAGGCTTGCGTTTCTGGTTACAGTTAGTATGAGCAAGGAGTGCTAGAGAGCTGTGTGCTCTTAGAGGACAACCCTATCTGACGTTTCATTTAGATAAAGTTGTGTTGAGAATCGGTATTACCTTTCTGCCTAAAGCAGTGGTTCTCAACCTGGGGTCCCCAGATGTTTTTGGCCTTCAACTCCCAGAAATCCTAACAGCTAGTAAACTAGCTGGGATTTCTGGGAGTTGTAAGCCAAAAACATCTGGGGACCCCAGGTTGAGAACCACTGGCCTAAAGTCATGTCTGTTTTCCACATGAACCAAGGCATTATTCTCCCTACCCTCATGCAGAATCTGATTTCTGAATTTGATAAGAGACTGCACTGCCTCAATGTTTGGACAGCTCTTGCCTTCCATTGTCTTTGTTTGCTGTTCTTCAAAAAAGACTTCTCGATCAATTTTTGAAGTGAGTAACTTCAGTAAACCATCTTGCTTATGAACAAGCTCATAGAGACCCTCCACCTTGGGTTTGCAGACACTCCAAATGAACTGCAGCTACGTCTTCTTGACTGAAGAGCTCATTGAGGACATATGTAGAGTAGCTGCTTGGTCATAGGCTTTAACATTTATATCTCATTTCAAGATTGATGAATGATTCTAGTCTGATACTTCATTTGGAAAAGCTGTATCACATTCCTGTTACTTGATACGTCTATGGTGAATATAATACATCTTTTGCATGACACTTCCACTTCATTTGGTTAGTAGCTTACTGTTGTTGTTCATTCGTTCAGTCGTCTCCGACTCTTCGTGACCTCATGGACCAGCCCACGCCAGAGCTCCCTGTCGGCCGTTACCACCCCCAGCTCCCTCAAGGTCAGTCCAGTTACTTCAAGGATGCCATCCATCCATCTTGCCCTTGGTCGGCCCCTCTTCCTTTTGCCTTCCACTTTCCCCAGCATAATTGTCTTCTCTAGGCTTTCCTGTCTCCTCATGATGTGGCCAAAGTACTTCAACTTTGTCTCTAGTATCCTTTCCCTCCAATGAGCAGTCGGGCTTTATTTCCTGGAGGATGGACTGGTTGGATCTTCTCGCAGTCCAAGGCACTCTCAGAACTTTCCTCCAACACCACAGTTCAAAAGCATCTATCTTCCTTCGCTCAGCCTTCCCTAAGGTCCAGCTCTCACATCCGTAGGTTACTACAGGGAATACCATGGCTTTGACTAGGCGGATCTTTGTTGCCAGTCTGATGTCTCTACTCTTTACTATTTTATCGAGACTGGACATTGCTCTCCTCCCAAGAAGTAAGCGTCTTCTGATTTCCTGGCCACAGTCTGCATCTGCAGTAATCTTTGCACCTAGAAATACAAAGTCTGTCACGGCCTCCACGGTTTCTCCCTCTATTTTCCAGTTGTCAATCCTTCTTGTTGCCATAATCTTGGTTTTTTTGACGTTTAGCTGCAACCCGGCTTTTGCGCTTTCTTCTTTCACCTTGATTAGAAGGCTCCTCAGCTCCTCCTCGCTTTCGGCCATCAGTGGTGTCATCTGCATATCTGAGGTTGTTAATGTTTCTTCCAGCAATTTTCACCCCAGCTTTGCATTCATCCAGCCCCGCACATCGCATGATGTGTTCTGCATACCAGTTAAAAAGGTTGGGTGAGAGGATGCAGCCTTGCCGTACGCCTTTCCCAATCTTGAACCAGTCTGTTGTTCCGTGGTCAGTTCTTACTGTTGCTACTTGGTCCTTGTACAGATTCCTCAGGAGAGAGACAAGGTGGCTTGGGATGCTCATCCCACTAAGAACTTGCCACAATTTATTATGATCCACACAGTCAAAGGCTTTAGAATAGTCAATGAAGCAGAAGTAGATGTTTTTCTGAAACTCCCTGCCTTTCTCCATTATCCAGCGGATATTGGCAATCTGGTCTCTCGTTCCTCTGCCTTTTCTAAACCCAGCTTGAACATCTGGCAACTCTCGCTCCATGTATTGCTGGAGTCTTCCTTGCAGGATCTTGAGCATTCCCTTACTGGCATGAGAAATAAGGGCCACTGTACGGAAGTTTGAGCAGTCTTTCGCATTTCCCTTTTTTGGTATGGGGATATAAGTTGATTTTTTTCCAGTCTGATGGCCATTCTTGTGTTTTCCATATTTGCTGGCAAATGGCATGCATCACCTTGACAGCATCATCTTTTAAGATTTTAAACAGTTCAGCTGGGATCCCGTCGTCTCCTGCTGCCTTGTTGTTAGCAATGCTTCTTAAGGCCCATTCAACCTCACTCCTCAGGATGTCTGGTTCTAATTCATTCACCACACCGTCAAAACTATCCTCAATATTATTATCCTTCCTATACAGATCTTCTGTATAGTCACGCCACCTTCTCTTGATCTCTTCAGCTTCTGTTAGGTCCCTGCCATCTTTGTTTCTTATCATACCAATTTTTGCCTGAAATTTACCTCCAATGTTTCTAATTTTCTGGAAGAGGTCTCTTGTCCTTCCTAGTAGCTTACTAGTCTCCCAATTATACGAGTTACAGATACCACAAAGAAGAACAGTTGCATAACTGTAACTGATTGTTTGAGTGGTCATCTGTGAACTCATCACAATCCTACCCATCCTCCCCTCATCATATCATGCCTATCCTTAGTCTGTTGGACAGCTGCATCAGAACCCATGGAACTGAGTATTTATGCAGGAAGGGCACTGGAGATGGGTGGCACCGAAGGTGAGTGGGGCTAATGCCAAAAAGCCTATGTAACATTCTGGAAATTTCCAAATGTTATACCGTGTAGGCTGAGATTACTCATTTGTGTGAGTTCACAGATGACCAGTCAGAGAACCATAGTTAAAGGTCACCTGAGACTTGAGGGAAATTTCATCTTAGAAGTAATTTAGCATGATAGAGGAAGATATTCATAACAATTACGATTTACTGATTAGATAACATATTGAAAAGTTACCTGTCAACTTTTGGGGACCCCATTTCAAAGGGTTTTCTTAGGCAAGGCATATTCAGAGGTGGTTCTGCCAGTTCCTTCCTCTAAAATACTGATTTCCAAAACAAGTATACTTGCATAGTATTATACTAAATCTAATAAACTGTGATATTGATAGTTTTAACAAAACTGTTGGTTATACCCAGTTACCCTTCTAAGAGTCAAGAAAATAATAACATTTAAAGCTAAAGGGAACATTAAATCTGTTGATATGGAAGTACTCAGGCAATAGAGGAATCTGTGTAAAATACATAATTGTCAGGCAGCAATATTAAAGGAACAGCTGTTGACATGATCATTTAAAGTTAAAAGTATTGGTCTCTCTGTGTGTATGTGTATGTATGTGAGATTTTCTTAAGCCAGAAATACTAAAGAGGTGGTTTTTGCCAGTTTCGTTTTCTGAAATATAGTCTACAATATCTAGTATTTATTAGTATTCTAATTTATTAGAATATATTTCTTTAACTTTTTTTTACTGAGAGCCAATGTGGTGTAGTTCTTTGAAGACTGGACTATGACTTGAGATCAGGGTTGCTTGGCCATAGAAGCCGTTGGGTGACCTTGGATAAGTGACACTTTCAGCCTCAAAGGAATGTAAAGGCAACCCTCCCACTGATCAAAGTTTGCCAAGAAAGCCCTGATGACTTGGAAGACGCTCAACATAACCTATTATTTACTGCTTAGGATATTTAGAAGCTATTGAGCATAGAAATTAAGAGCAGCTTGGCCTAAAGCCTTCCAAACACATAAAGTGTTGTGTGGAAAAATTGTTTAAAACACTGTATATGTTTGTCTGACAGACTAGAATAGAGGTGACTATACATAGATCCTCTGGACTACATTGGGGAAATGGAGGCGGGGTATAAATAAAGTTTTATTATTTTTATGATCCTGCCACTTTTATATACCCAGAACCATTTCTGTGTGTTCCTTCACCATCTTCAGGTAAATTGGGGATACTGTAGGTCCGAAACTGACAATTGTGCCTTTAGGGGATTTGATACCCCCCCCTTTTTTTTTTTATTAAGTCAGAATAATGAAAACAAACTTGGAGAGGTTGAGAGTGCCTTGGGTAGAAATACAGCCCCCATGTATAGGGGGGCTGTATTTCTACCCAGGCATATAGTGAAGAACTAGTGAAAGGGAATATGGCACTGCCCTACATAGATGTGAAATCATTGTAAAAAAAAAAAAAAGTATTGCGCTAATAGTTGTTTCAAATACCTTTTATTTTCTACCCTCCCAATATTATGATTTAAAAATTTCTGTTTCATGTGGTATTAGCCTAAGAACTTCAGCATTCTCTTTAGAAGGTTTTTTTAATGGTGCTTGGACAGCATAAAATGTCGCCACAAAGGAAAGGAAATTTTCTGGTTCAATTCAGTTCTGGGATAAGACCAGGAAAATGACAAATACAATTTTATGGCATTGTAATAAGTTTAGAGTTAAATAATTGTGTGACATTGTAATTTTGTTTAATTGAGCAATATTCTTATCTCCAATGTTAGACTTTGGATTCTCAAGAAAAGATCCTCTTTTGCCTACATCACGTCCTAACAGTCAGGATTCTTGGAAGACAGACAAAAATGAAATGGTAAGTCCTTGAATTTCAATATATTCTTGTAACTAAACAGTTTGTATAGGAAATCAAAATATTATTTACTTGATTTATCCCACCTTGCTCCTAATGTAGGATTTGGAGTGACTGAAATGGAAAGAGGGGGGGCAATTGAATGTTCCTTAGAAGGGAATTCCACAGTTTCCCAAGTCCTTATCAAACGTGCCTGTGATGGTGACGAGAGTAAGAAAATGTCCTGCCTAACAAATTTTAACAGTATTAAGCATTTCAAATTATTGTTGAAGAACTTAAAACAATTACAAATTATTAATGGCATTTGCTTGAAGATTCTATTTATTCTGGGTTTTTTAAAATAATTTTTTATTAAATTATCATAATTATCTATTTATTCTGTTAATGCTCTTCTTTCATCAAAGGGAGAGCTAAATGATAGCTTAATAATTTATCGTGTCACACACACACACACACACACACAAAGAGTTTGCAAACTTGGCATTCTTTTAAATGTCCTTTGACCAGTAGCTGGCCACTTGGAGTGCCTCTGGTGTTGCTATGAGAAGGTCCTCCGTTGTGCATGTGGCAGGGCTCAAGTTTATGTATTTATTTCAATCATTTCTACCCCCCCTTCTCCCCCCCCCCCGAAAAGCATCGTGTGATGCTGTCAGCATATAACAACAAAGATTACAGTTAAAACAGTAAAAAACCATTAAAACATTATACAAATTCATTCACAAGTTCATTAAACAATAAATTAAAACATGCYAATTAAAACCACGACCAAGTTGGGTAAATCCAATGTCGCTGATGTCCTAAATTTCCTTTCCAATTGCCGCTGTCCACTAGTCAAACACCTGGTCCCAAAGCCAAGTCTTCAATTGTCTTCTAAAGGACAGGAGGGAGGTGGCCAACCTGATGACCTTAGGGAAGAAGTTCCACAGATTGGGGGGGGGGGCACTACCGAGAAGACCCAATCTCTCGTCCCCACCAACCGTGTTCGCGAGAGTGGTGGGATTGAGAGCAGGGCCCCCTCTGACGATCTTAAGCTTCGTGATGGTTCGTAACAGGAGATATGTTCAGATAGGTAATCTGGGCCAGAACCATTTAGGGCTTTAAAGGTTAAAATTAGCACTTTGAATTGTGCTCGGAAGCTAATCGGCAGCCAGTGGAGCTGGCGCAGCAAAGTAGTAGTATGCTCCCTGTACGCTGCATTGTAAGTGGTCTGTGGATTTCTTTTCTCCACACTTGCATGTCGTGGATTCCACTTTGTAGCCCCATTTCTTAAGGTTGGCTCTGCATCTCGTGGTTCCAGAGTGCAGTCTGTTCAGCGTCTTCCAAGTTGCTCAGTTTTCTGTGTGCCCAGGAGGGAGTCTTTCATTTGGTATTAGCCATTGATTAAGGTTATGGGTTTTAGCCTGCCACTTTTGGACTCTCACTTGCTGAGGTGTTCCAGTGAGCATCTCTGTAGATCTTAAAAAAATTATTTCTTGATTTAAGTCGTTGGCATGCTGGCTAATACCCAAATGGGATGGGTCGGAGATGTCACTAATAGCTGCCTTTATCATTGTAGTGGTGTGAGAGTGTCCAGCATCCTCCATAGGCAGGGGAACATCATAAGGATGCTCATCCATTCCATCAGTTGCTTATGACAAACAAGACTCAGGCAGCTGTTTGGAATACTCCCAATAACTTCTTTATTTCAGACAAGCCGAGAACTCAAATCCAACAGACTCCTCTGTTCCACTCTCCCTCTGATCTCTACTCCTTCACTTCCCCCTCCCTCCTTCCAATTACTCCACATGTGTCAAGGTGCAGCGTCCTTGGAGTTCTTATATCTTGCTGGTGTTTTAAAGGAACATCTTATTTCCAACTCCATGGCGGGGACCCTCCACTGTCTCCCCTTTACACATGGGTTTGGTTCTTCACTAGTTAGAAGAGACACTTTCCTAAAGGGAGTCATGTTTTGCCTTGCAGGAAGAAAGAAAAAAAATGAGCTTTAGAGACCTCCGTGTCATAGTTTTTAAACTGCCTTGCCTTCAGAGAAAGAAGAAAGGAAGTGAAAATCAGCCCCAAATGGCTCTGCCGTTTAAACAAAGAGAAACAGAAACTGAAGGTTTTCATGGTTGGAATCACTGGGTTGCTGTGAGTTTTCCGAACTATATGGCCATGTTCCAGAAGCATGCTCTCTTGACATTTTGCCCACATCTATGGTAGGCATCCTCAGAGGTTTGAGGTCTGTTGGACACTAGACAAGTGAGGTTTATATATAAGACTTATGTTCCTTGTATTAAAAGGCAACATAAAGGTTTACTCCTTGGATTTTTAATATATATACACATATTTAAACCATGGGTGGTTGAATCCTTGAATACGAGGGCTGACTATACACACACCTTACAACCTTACAACCTCTGAAGCTGCCTTCCAACAGACCTCATAACTGAGGATGCCTGCCATAAATGTGGGCAAAACGTCAGGAGAGAATCCTTCTGGCACATGGCCATAGGTAAAGCTCAATGTTTTCCCCTGACATTAAGTCCAGTCGTGTCCAACTCTGGGGTTGGTGCTCATCTCCATTTCTAAGTCGAAGAGCCAGTGTTGTCCATAGACACCTCCAAGGTCATGTGGCTGGCATGACTGCATGGAGTGCCATTACCTTCCTGCTGGAACGATACCTATTGATCTACCCACATTTGCATGTTTTTGAACTGCTAAGTTGGGAGCCCCCGGTGCTCAGTGGGTTAAAGCGCTGAGCTGCTGAACTTGCTGACTGAAAGGTTGCATGTTCGAATCTGGGTAGCGGCGTGAGCTCCTGCTGTTAGCCCCAGCTTCTGCCAACCTAGCACATGGCCATACAGCCTGGAAAGCTCACAGCAACCCAGAAACAGCTGTTTGTTTGAGGCTGGCTCATCCCTACTGCTCCCCTTTTGAAAGTAAGGCATTAAAAAAACAGAAACTAGAATATTCAAAGGCAGAATTTTTTCCCTCATGTAATAGATGCATCCTTCCTTTCAAAAATTATGTGTTGAAATATGGTAGATTGAGACTATAAATTACAGTATTAAGAGGAAAAATATAAAATGGGTTAAGTGACTTACGTTAAAAGTTCTTTATAAAGTCCAGTATAAGCAAGTAAATAGAGAAGTATTAGTAGTGCCATGATGAAGGAATTGTAAATCAAGCTCATCCTGGAAGAAGTGATATTTTTTTTGCCTAAGAAAGTGTTGCCTAAATGCGGTTTGACATCACTTTAACTGCCATGATTCAATGCTGTGAAATCATGGGAGTTGTGGTTTTACAAGATCTTTAGCCTTTCTGCAAAAGAGTGCTGGAGTCTCACCAAACCACAAATCTCATGGTTCCATAGCAGTGAGCCATGGTCGTTCAAACTGCATTAATTTTATGGTGTAGGTACACCCTAGGAGATGGAAGAGCAGATTCACTGTATCTATATTCAACACAACACATACATAACAAGGTATGCTGAGAACTTTAAAAAAGAAGTAGCAAGGACAAGGGTCTGGTCCTGAATAGAAGAGAAATGTTTACTGCAGGAAACAAATATTTAGTTGAAAATATTTGAGAGAAAAAATGCAACAGAACTGAGAAAGAAAGGCAACAGAAACTGATAGGATGGGAAAATCAGCTGTTCACTTTTTTTGTTTTAGTTACTCCAAGCTACCAACTTACTTTAAAACCTAAACTTAACATTCACAATACTAAAACTGCATACTACAAAGCTCTTGTTTCTTAAAGTACAATATCATACAGCATTGCATTTAAAAAAAAAAATATTTCCTTTCCCCCCAAAAAGTTGCTCAGATATGTCTTGAGCTGGACTACAGCTTAAATGCAGTGCCAGATGAGGTAACCGAGGCACCTGTCTGTTCGATTTTATAGGATTCTTTCTGTCTTGTTCTTCCTGATGACGTGGAGGCCCTCCTTTTGCTCCTGCCAGTATCACAGGCCCGTCTTTTGGGTACAAGGGAGAGAGCCTTCTCTGTGGCCCCCCGATTCTGGAACTCATTACCCGGAGAGATTGGAAAGCCCCCACCTTAGAAACCTTCAGGAAGGATCTCAAAACCTGGCTTTTCCGTTGCGCCTTCGGAGAGTAGCCACACAACCATACACTATTGCTCCCCTCAATGTTTTTGTTCTTGGAGTACACTTCCCCTGCTTGTATGAATGCCTGTTTTTTTTACAACCCTGTTTCTTTATGAGCTCTCCCTCACAAATAATCTGCTCCTCTCTTATCTCATTTTATCTTGCACATGCGGCACGCTCATTGTCATTGTGATTGTAGATATTGTATTTTTATGTTGCTAATTGTATTCATATGTTTTATGTATTTTACTGTGTTGTCGTTTGTGTCTTTGGTTTTTATTTTATTGTGATTTGTTTAGGCTTGGCCTCATGTAAGCCGCCTCGAGTCCCCGTTGGGGGAGATGGTGGCGAGGTATAAATAAAGTTTATTATTATTATTATTTTAAAAACCTATCCATGGATATTTTGGCAGGTTCTGAACATTACTGACAGAAGAGAGTTCAGTTGCTGAGATGATCCTGCCATGTATGATATTCCCATACTACTCAAGAGCATAAAAGACAGAGCTTCCCAAACTAATCTTGCATCTGGTGCACATTCCCACTACTAAATCTTAAATTATATTTGTGCATCGATTTATCTTTTGTACATCATCACAAGCCTGAACCCTTGTTAGCTTCCGAGCACAATTCAAAGTGCTGGTGTTAACCTATAAATCCCTAAAGGACTCCGGCCCAGTTTACCTGTCCGAACGGATTCTCCCCTATGAACCATCAAGATTGTTAAGATCGTCTGGAGGGGCCCTGCTCTCGGCCCCACCAGCCTCGCAAGCGCGCCTGGTGGGGCGAGGGACAGGGCCTTCTCGGTGGTGGCCCCTCAGCTCTGGAACTCCCTCCCACTGGAAATTAGAACTGCCCCTTCTCTCCTGACTTTTAGAAAACAGGTGAAAACCTGGCTCTGGAAACTGGCATTTGACGAGTGAGTCAATAACTCGTGGCTATATGGATGGATGGTGATGAACAACGATTTTATTATGACGACTTGGCCATTGTAATTATATGATTGTATTTTTGGTATTTTAATGTGTTAGGGTATTACAGAATGTGATGTTTTTAAATGATTGCTTGTAATATTATTGTTGGAAACCGGCCTGAGTCCCTCCACGGAGGTGAGAAGACACAAAAGTTCTAAATAAATAAATAAATAAATAAATAGTGCTTCTGTTGAGCCCTAACCCTAATTCTTTAGATCTTAACGTTTAGATTCTAAATGTAATATTTTTAAAATACTGCATACAAGGTAACTTCCTTTACAGTATTTATTTTTTATTTATTTTATTTACTTCATTTTTACCCCGCCTTTCTCACACCACAGAGAACTCAAGGCAGCTTACAAACTCAGGCAAAATTCAATGCCGCATGGACATAACAGCAAAACACACCCCATCAAATCATAAAACAGTTAAACATATGAGCAATTAAAACATATAAACAATAAATGAGATTAAAACCATATAAAATGCCGAGTTTTGGCCATAGCCATGGATAAGTATGAGGAATACTTATCCATTTTACGAAATTAAATGCCACCCCCAATACACATTTTATATGTAGATTATAAAAACAAAGCATCCATCCTTCACATTCTAAGCACTATTACACATGCCAAACATGCTTCAGCAGCTTACTGCATTATTATTTATATTCAGCTACGACAACATACATTGTACATGCTTTTAGGTTCATATATGTAATAGGGAATGGGGGCAGTATGAGAAGGTGCTTTCTGGATCATGAATTAATTGGTAGAAGAAAAGCACAGCAAAATCACATTAGTAAGGAATGCAGGCCAGTGCAATAGGAGGATACAGCATTGATATGTCCCTTTTCTACAACAGATGGAGAGTATCTTAGTCCCTCCCCCTTAGTTGCCGGTGTTCACATGTGGGAGCTACAGAGAGAAGGTCTCTCTTCTCTTCTTTTTATTTTTGACTGCATGTCAGTTGTATTATTGATCAAGCAGTTCATGAGTGAGTCATCTGATACTGTCCACATCAAAACTCAACTTTTCCTAGGGCTGTTCTGTTTTGCTGTGTTACATTCTGAATGCTCCTTCTGCTGTTGGAAAAAAATCTCACTAAGTTCAACATGCTTTTATCTATTACACAATTATTTCAAATAGCTTTAGTTAAGGATAAGAAGGAAGACTATCAATTTTCAGAACAACTCTGAAGGGGAAATTATTGATTTCTCTTGGATTATATTGCAGACTTTTTTAGGATTGAATGTACCCCATGGATGTTGCAGAGTCTATTTCAATACGCTAAAAGGTTGTGAGAAAGCAAATTGCAGGTTTCATCATGTTCTTCCACCAGGAAATGAAAAGGTAAGAGCAGTGATTTTTCTATTCATAAAATACTCTTCTTGCACTGACCTGACCAATCTCTAGAATAAGAGTTCATTAATTTTTGAAGAAAGTTTACGTTCATTGTTTGTAAATTTAGGAATCCAGAGATGAGTGAATGAAATCATTAAATAAAATACTAGATAATTTTATGTCACTTACATACAAGTATTTTGTATTCAGTTACAAATAATCAAATGTGGAATAGTCAAGTGCTGTAATGAGGATGAATGTATTCCTCATTCCATTTAACCTTTGTATTATGTATTTAATTTGCAAACTGTATTACTATATACATTCAGAGATTGCAACTAAGTATAGGAGACATATAGTCATGTTGGTAACAAGCACTGATCAAATTTGCTATTTAAATTCTTCTTTGAATGGTATGGGAATACTTGAAAATTGATTGGGAAAATACTGAGATGCCTCTTAATGATTAACCTTTCTTCTAGCAAATACAAACCTGTAATAAGCTACGGTTCTCCCTATATGAAAAAAGTTATAACCCTTGAACAACAGTATTTTTCCAATTTAACATTACAGTAAATCTATACAAATTTGCCTTCTAAATAAACCATTTGAATCTTAAAATAATGCCATCTTATTATTGAACAGCTTAGTTGAGTGTCATTCCAGATTATGAACTACAGTAGCCATAGTTTGGGAGCCAAACTCTATTTGAGCTTCCAAGAACAGAGACAAACTATGGTTTAGAGCTGCTTCATTTTATTAATCTCTACCTTCTAAATCAGGGCCCTCTGGTGGCGCAGCAGGTTAGACCGCTGAGCTGCTGAACTTGCTGACTGAAATGTTGGCGGTTCGAATCCAGGGAGCGGGGTGAGCTCCTACTGCTAGCCCCATCTTCTTCCAACCTAGTAGTTTGAAAACATGCAAATGTGAGTAGATGAATAGGTATTGCTTCTGCTGGCCACATGACCTTGGAGGTGTCTATGGACAACACTGGCTCTTTGGCTTAGAAATTGAGATGAACACCACCCCTCAGAGTCGGACACAACTAGACTTAATGTCAGGGGAAACCTTTACCTTTACTATCTTCTAAATCTAAGAGAGGAATTCCATACAATTTAGAAAAGATAGCGTAATCACTTGAGTATAATGAGAATGTAATGCACAACTTAAGTTTGAAGGTGCACATTACAAAAAATGGATTTGCCCTCGAATATAATGCACCCAACAGCACAGGCATAGCACATGAGGGAGGTGAACCTACCAGCCCTGCATGATTTCCATCTGGTCTCATTTGACCAGTTGGGAACTGCATAGAACTGACCTAGGGCGGTGGGGCGGACAAGAGACCCTGAGGGCCTCCCTAGAGGCAGGATACTTGGTTAACTGGCTGGAACGACTGGGTCACCAGCTGGGCTCTCCTCCTCCAGGTGCTACAGAGTCCTGGGAAAAGCCTCTTTGCCACCCCGTCTCCCCCATTTGGACTCTGGGGTTCTGGGTCTCTCTGGGCCTTGTCACACAGGTGGTTTTATGTGCGCAGTTCTAATGCACCATCAAATCTGATGCACACCTCAATGTTAGCAATGTAATTTAGCCAAAAAAGAGTGAGTGTTAGACTCAAGTAAATATGGTATCTTTATACAATACTTCAGTTAATCAAAGCATAGCAGTAATTACTCTGCCTTTCATTGTTACTCTAAGCTTTCCCATCCTGGGATAAATGAAAATCATCATCTTCAGCTTTATTTGTACCCCACCCTCACTCCCAAAGGGACTGAGGGCAGTTTACGGTAACCAATGAATACAGTAAATGATATAAGCAATAAACAATAAACAGCAATAAACAAATATCATTTAATACAGATAAAATAACACAGTAGTATAAACATTACTAAAAACAGTTTAAAAATATTTGTGCTCTAAAACAGTATAGATATAAATGTCATTTAAAAGCGGAGTATCAATAAAATTCTTAAAATAGCTGGCTATTAGTGAATTCTGATATTGGGTAGATCCACTAAATCCATATGTCATCATTTAATGCAAGATCCAATGATTCTGTGTAATGTACTTGGAACTAACATTTGGATATAGATGATGTTTGTCTCTGCAATCCTATATTTACTGGAGAGGAAGCCCCACTCTTTCCAATGGAATCTGTTTCCATAGTCGGTATGCTTTGGATTGTAGCCAATAATAAATTGACAATTTTTAAAAAAGTTATCTTACACCAAAAAGTATTGTGCAGGTCCAAAATATTAGTTAGGTATATATTTACAATGAAGGAACTGGGGGTGGTGACGAAGAGTCGGAAATGACTGAACGAATGAACAACAGCAAATATATTTACAAACCAGTGATATCTTTACAAACCAATTATTCATATGTAAAATTGAGTGGATTTTCAGGATTTCAGACTAAATTTATGTGTGTGGTTGTTTTTGTTTTTTTTAGTTTTGCAGTGCCGTACTTAAGAAATATTTAAGTATTGGTGAAGTAGTTCTGCTGCAGCGTGCAGGTATGATGTAATTCATTCAGTGGCCTCAAGGACTGACATGTAGTCACATAACTGTAACTATTACATTACTAATTCAGGGATTGTAATGGTACTGTACAAATGCAGTAATATATTTAATAGCAATTTGCTGACAACATTACCTAATAGAATTATAGAATTGAAAGAGACCACAAGGACCATCCAGTCCAACCCCATGTCATGCAGTAATACACAATCAAAGCACTCTCACCAGATGACCATCCAGAGCCTGTGAAAAAAAAAAAACCTCCCAAAAGTAGACTCCATCATACTCTTGAGGCAGCATATTCCACTGTCAAACGGCTCTTGCCATTAGGAAGTTCTTCCTAATGCTTAGGTAGAATCTCTTTTCCTGTAATTTGAATCCATTGTTTCATGTCCTAATATTACAGTAGCTCAAACAAACAAACAAAAAACCCGTAATTTTAACTAAGCCCTCTAGGCATGTAAATATATTTAGATGTGGCAATTGCAATTGTTGCTGTAAAGTGAAAGATGGTTGTTTTCATCATGATGTAATTCTAAGAAATAATTTTCTGAACTTTTAAAAGGGAAAATGTACTTGGAACATTGAAAATCATGTTGCCTAGTAATCTAGAGCAGGAATTCCCAAACTTTTCTGTTCATGGAACCCTTCAGGAGACTTTCTCCCTGCCAAACCCAAGCTCTTGTCCTGATTTTCCTGTGGAACCCAACTGTATCCCTAATCATTTTCTTCCTCCTTTCATCTATTCCTAATACCTGAGTGTTTTGTATAATCTAGTAAGATTGGAAATAAAGATAAAACATTTTAAATATAACCACAAATCTTTACTTTGGTACAAGAAAATACTGGATATAATGACAATTTTTGGTACAGGGAAATATTAGGTACATATCTAAAAGGATGAATGAAATTGTCTCATTTTTGTACTTTAAATAGTTTTGAAATTGGGCTTTATCTTTGGCAGCTGAATATGTAAATCTGGGGTAGCATCAATTTGCCCTTAAATGTGCTTATTATGTAAGCATAAACTGAAAAGCCTGATAGGTGAACATGAAGGGAAGAATTGTTCAGATAGCCTTTCTAGCTACTGATGACATTATGCCTATCAGGCCTACTCAAAAGGCATCCAGTGGCACAGATTCAAATTTCGTTTTAAAAGCAGAGATACATTAAATTTCAGTATGCTCTTCATGCTTCGGCATGGACTTCTTTAAAAGATTTTTAAAAGATTTTTCGCAGTACGCCTACAGTACTTTTTGTGGAACCCTGGGTTCCACGGATCACAGTTTGAGAACTGTGTTTCTACAATGTAATCTACACTTTTTGTCTTTTAAAAACCATTGTTTCTGTTTATTGATGTTTCAATATTCTATTAGTTAAATCACTGTGATAATATTACACTTAAATTTCTCCTTTTCTGTAGTCCAGATATTTACAGATTATTGCAAAAGGAGCACTCCTAGGTTATATTTGAATTCACAAATTTTAAATGACCTGCTTGCCTCTTTGCTCCAGTCCTTTTTGCTGAAAGAATTGTTTCTTGTAGTCCATGCTGGCATAATGATTAAGATACTGGTAAGTTACCTTCTTACATGTTTCACAACACACTGCTAAACTCTGTTAGATTCAGTGGAGCTTCCAGGTGAATGGGTGATGAATTGTGACCTGAAAAACTTTTTTGATTTAGGGGAATAATTGACAGCATGTTTTATAGTAATACAGTTGGGTTTTTTACTTGAAGTTTTGATTCTGAGTTTTTTTATTCAGGACAGTTAGTCAATTTCAAAAACTATAATAAATGTTTTTAATGTATATACTCGAGTATAAGCCGAGTTTTTCATCCATTTTTTTCTATATTTTTAATTAATAAATTTTTACTTGAGAAAAAATTGTAATTATATAAACATACACTATACATTTCCCCCTCCTTTATTTACATTCACCCCAGTGCTCCGTTTCTCCAGAGCCATCTCTTTTTCTAAAGTACCATCAAAAGTTCAATTCTTCCTTTTTTTAGGCTGAAAAAGCCCCCCTCGGCTTATATTCGAGTCAAAGTTATTTATTACTTTACTCTGCTATTATTATTATTTTAATTACATTTATTATTTTACTCTATTTATTATTGTTGTTATTATTTAATATTTTACTTTATTATTATTACATTTATTATTTTACTTTATTTTTATTGTTATTATTATATTTATTATTTTGCTACATTGTTACTACATTTATTATTTTACTCTATTTTTATTATTATACTTATAATTTTACTCTATTATTACTGCTATTATTACATTTCCATTATTTTACTCTAATATTACTTTATTACATTTGTTATTTTACTCTCTTTATTATTATTAGAATGATATGTAAGCTAAACAAATTTACATTGAAGGAGGTTATAAGAATGGTGTAATCAGAGTTGGACAGTCTGATCCTAAATTACAGTTTTATGTAAATATTTAAAAAAATTAGCCTACACTACTGATGCCTCAATTAATGTAATGTTATTGGTATCTATTTTTATTTTGAAATTTACTAGTAGCTGCTGCATTTCCCACCCTCATCTTACACTCAAGTCAATATGTTTTCCCCAGTTTTTTGTGGTAAAATTAGGTGCCTCTTCTTATATTTGGGTTGGCTTATACTCAAGCATATAGGGTATTTGTTTGGTTCTTTCCTGCTTTCTGAGAATCTTGGTGCAGTTTAACAATAAAACTTTTGAGTTCTTTGTTCATCTTCTGTTAACCTTGCTTTTAGTTTTAATCTGTTTGCATATCCACTGTGCAATTGAAATTGAAATATAATTTCAGAAGAATACCTGTTCAGTTGCAACAAAAGATGCCAATGGTTCTTTAAAGACTAATATAATCCACCCCTCTATTGTTTAAATTGCACATTTTCAGCCCTCAAACCATCCACAAATGGGGCACCTCTGTATTGCAGATTCTCCAATCCTCAAAGGAAATTTAAAAGAAGAAAATAAAGAGGCGAAAGCATTTTCAGTGTGCCCAAAATAATGTGGAAAAATTGACTCCCATCTGCTGTAGAGTTCATTTTGCACAAACGTGAGGTCTCAGGTCTCAGAAATGGCACAAGCAACCACCTCCACAGAGTATAAACTCTTTGTAGCCTTTTAAATAATGCTTAGCTGATATATTTTAGTTTGAAATTGTATTTTGTATTTTGTTAAGTAATTACTTTTGATACATTTAGCTGTCATTTTAATAAGTTTATTTTTTACTTAGCCATCGGTACACTTGCTTCTCAAAGTTTTTGAACAAGTGGCTTCCATGAAATTAAAAGACACAGTGCCTGATTTACTTCGCATCTCATGTGAGGTATGGTTTGAATTAACTTTGTTTGATCCCATCATAAATGCTTCTCTTTCTAGGATACTGCTTTTCTGTTTGTCTTTCTGCTTCTGCTACATACCCTTTCTTTAGTTTCATAAATCTTTTGAATGTTGTCGGAGTGCCAAAACCTTATACAAATTCTGATTCCAATCCCAATTCCAGATTGTGAGAAATAGAAATTTCTAAGAGAGAACATTCCAAGATTATGGAGGAATTCGTTTTTTTAATTTTTTTGGTGAATGTCAGGAGTGACTTGAGAAACTGCAAGTCGTTTCCGGTGTGAGAGAATTGGCTGTCTGCAAGGACATTGCCCAGGAGATGCCCAGATGTTTTACCATCCTGTGGTAGGCTTCTCTCATGTCCCTGCATGAGAAGCTGGAGCTGACAGATGGGAGCTCACCCTGCTCCCTGGATTTGAACTGCCTACTTTTTGGTCAGCAGTCCTGCCGGCACATTGCACGATCAGGGGCTCAATGGGTTACTGTCCTGGTTTTAGATTTTTTTTAATACTGGTGGCCAGATTTTGTTCATGTTCATGGTTTCTTCCTTACTGTTGAAATTGTCCACATGCTTGTGGATTTCAGTGACTTTTCTGTGTAATCTGACATGGTAATTGTTAGAGCAGCCCTGCCGGCACAAGGGTTTAACCCATTGAGACACCAAAGGAATTATGAATAAAACTGTTTTCATAGTGCCAGTTGCTGTTACCATAATACAGATTATGCATTGCTTTTCTGCAGTTCCAAAATTTGAAATACTCCAAAATTGTTCACATAGATGGTTGAGATTGTGACACCTTTGCTTTTGGATGATTTGATGCATACAAACTTTCCTGCACTGGATTATTTTAAAATACTGTATAACTACTTTCGAGTATAAGTGTATATAAAAGATAAATGAATTTCATATTTAGATTTGGGTATCATCTCCTAAGTATCTTATTATGTACAAATATGCAAGTACAGATATTCCAAAATCCAAAACGTTTCTGGTCCCAAGCATTTTGGATAAGGGATATTTAGCATGTGTGAGATAGACAGAAGGTAGTTTGGGATTTACTGGTATTTTCCTTGGTAATTAGAAAAACTTACTAATTGATATGTTTGAAAAACAGTAAATATGTTTTCTTCCCTCTAAATTAGTTCAAATACAGTAAATATAGTAGGTGCCGTAGTCAAATAGCTTCTTCCTCTGCATTTTTGTACCTATTTGATGTAGCTTGATGCCTGAAGCCCATCTTGTTCCACTGTTATGAACTTAATATGCTTGGGAATGATTGCCTGTTTATCTTGGAGAGGACAAGAAGGGGGGAGGTTAAGGGGATAAGAGAGCAAATAAAGTTGATGCCTATGTTGTACTTAAGTAAAAGATTAAAGGATAGATTTATTTGGAGTACGAGGTTAAATGAACTCACAAGGCTCTCTTTCTCTGGAGCCTTGTGAACGAATAGCTGTGAGCCAATTCAGTCCAGAGAGTCACTGGGCAAAATGACACTAGGCTATTAGCGCCTGCTTCCAGATTTGTACGCCTTACAATGGATACAGTGTGATCCATACTATCCATGGATTGGTACACATATTGGGTATTTTGAATTAGATTTCAAACTTCTCTGTAAATTTCTTTTACCAGCTTAATTTCAGCCTAAATTTAAGTCATACAATGTGTAAAATACAGATGCATTATCAAACTATTTCTGCTCTATCATTTCTACAGAACTCTGATTTCAAATTAGGTGGGAGGCCTCTTAGAATGTTCATATTTAGGATTGAGTTTTTATTTCTGTCTTTTTTAATACCATAGCTTTTTGATGCTGGAATGGCCTTTGAATATGAACATATTTGCTGTATTACAAAGTTTCTCAATCAATTGCAAGTTTCAAGTCATGAAATAACCACCTTTACGTCCAGGTATGTATTTTTCTAATAGCAACTGTATTGCAAAAGAACTGAAAACAACCCTCCCAATTTTGGGAGGCTTACAAAAAAAACGGATCGGGGACCCCAATGAAAGCTGGGACACGAAACTGGACAAGGTTCTCCCTGAATGTACATGACTAGTAGGCATTACTCTCAGCAGTTACTACAAGTTGTTCAGATGAACACTGTAATGTTTCTGGATTGCAGCTGTTTCTCTTCAGCTCTTTTAGTCATTCATGGATGCTATAAATATACTGTATGTTGTGAAATCCTGACTTAACAGCGAGATGGAATTATTAAGACTTTAAATTGTTATTTTTTTATGTTAAACTAAAATTTAAGCTTTCTCAAATGGATGATTATATAACAATTATTCTTAAGATTTCAGGAAAGACATTTTGAAAAGGCCAGCCTTTGTGACTTCGATTCAGCTGTAGCAGAATTTCAGGTACAATGAGCATATTTTGTGTGAAAGCAGACTTGAGAGACACTTAATACTATAATGCTAATTTAATAATATGAAAGTAAGATCTGATAGAATAATTACACCTGTAAGGGAGAGTGAGTGGGATGTTAACTTTAAAAACAATTCATTTTCAATGGGAAGATATGTTGAAGCAGCCTCTCCTGAGCAAATTGCATTTTAGATGTGCTTACACAAAAATCTTGGTATTCAGAACTGTAGTTTGATCCTAAGTAAGGATACTGTTAAATATAGCAATCATAAATATCCTAGGATTTTTTTAGGTCTTCCAATGCAACTTTGTGACAACCCCTGGGAGGAACATACCATAGAATCGCCTGTAGAATCTAGAAAATGCTTAAGCTGTTTTTTGAATGAGTCCACATATATGGGTTCCTGTATACCAGGGTCTTCCTGTATTCATGTTCATCATATTTGTGTTGACACCATCATTTATTATAATGTTGTCTATATTTTTATCACTTTTTCTGAACAGCACTGTAAAGAAAAGGGTGATTGGGCTAAATTGGGAACTTTGTACGTTAATATGAGGAGAGGATGTGGGAACGTGGATGAAAAGTACTCAGTATGCATTGCTAACATCCTAACCAGTGTCCTGAAGGAGGAGAAGCTAAGGATTCCTTTTTGTGAATTTGCAGCTGCAGGTAACATTTATAGAATATTGTCCATTATTTCATAAACAAATCCAAGGGGAAAGTGTGAGGATTCTGTTTAATGAAATTTAGGTGCCTTTTCAACAAGCCCTATGAGGAGCACTTAAAGAGCTGGGAATGTTTAGCCTGCAGAAGAGAAGGCTGAGAGGAGACATGATGGCTATGTACAGGGCGAGGCAGCATAACTTCCTTTTTTGAAAATGCGCGCCATTCAGTCGGTTGAAGACGTAGTGGAGCGCTAGTGGTCTCGTTTGAGAGGCAGGAGTATAAAGTTTTGTCCTGACAGTTCAGTCGCCATCATGCGTTGGAAGAGTGAGGAGCGTGCTTTTGCCGTTGAGGCCTACTTTTCGAGCGGATTTGGAGTGACCGGCCCGCTCTCCAGATTTGGCCCCTTGTGATTTTTTTCTATGGGTTTTTTTGAAATCCCATGTCTGTGTGAACCATCCAAGGACCCTACAAGATTTGAAGACCAACATCCAGGAAGAAATTGCCAACATAACGACTGCTATCCTGGCAAGAGTAATGACAAACGCTACAAATCAGTTTACTCAGTGAATGGAGAATGGGGGACATCACCTACCCAATTTGTTCTTCAAAACTACGTAAAACAAAACTTTAGGTATGCGCCTACATTATACTTTTTTTTCTGATTCATACAATGGGTTTTATTAAGTTTTGAAAAAAGGAAGTTATGCTGCCTCACCCTGTATAAATATGTGAGGGGAAGTCATAGGGAGGAGGGAGCAAGCATGTTTTTTGCTGCCCTGGAGACTAGGACACAGAACAATGGCTTCAAACTACAGGAAAGGAGATTCCACCTGAACATTAGGAAGAACTTCCTGACTGTGAAAGCTGTTCAGCAGTGGAACTCTTTGCCCCAAGGCATGATGGAGGCTCCTTCTTTGGAGGCTTTTAAGCAGAGACTGGATGACCATCTGTCGGGTGATTTGAATTCGATTTTCCTGCTTCTTGGCAGGGGGTTGGACTGGATGGCCCATGAGGTCTCTTCCAACTCTATGATTCTATCTTAAATTCCACTCTGATTTAAAACAATTCATCCATATTATGAGCACAATGGAACCACATATATGTTTCAGTGCCAAAAATACAGCTCAGTCAGAAAAGGGAAGTTTGGGGGTGAGGCCCAAACAGGAAAATTACTATGGTAATATCTTTTTGGCTTCTTTTTCTCCCCACTTACAGTAGAGTGGTAGCCACTGCCAATTCCCTAGGCCAGTGTGGATGTCATGGTAAATCTTTTACCTACTCTGAATCTGGAGTTGGGGAAACTTTCATATTTGTAAAGGATCTTTGTCTTGCTGGAAAAGCCAACCAGGAGCTGCAAATGGCTGTTCTGGAGTCAAACATGGGCAGACTTTCCAATATTGTAGAATTGTATGTTCATTTGCCACCTCTCTCTTTCCCCTCCATTTCTAAATCATCTCAGATGAAATCAAGCTCACCCTCCACACCATAATTATCGGCATTTCAGCTTTGTAAAATTCAGCTTTTCAGGTTGACCAGTATCTTTATGCCTATTAAAGCTCCAAGATTAGAAGTGATACAAACTGGCCTAAATATAGATATTTGTAGAGATCTATGAAAGGAAGCATTTGAATGGAAGGGAGATTGTAGAGAATTAGAAAATTATAGTCGTCCTCTCTCTATCCATAAAAAACATTGTCTAGATGGGCCATATTTAACTGAAGTCTTCTGAGGCACATATTTGGCCCCAATGTAACTGTTAGTAAATACAGTTTAATCTCTGGTGGTCTATGTACTCTGTACTTCTATATGTTGAAATATGTATGTGAGGATTCAGTTGTGTGGGAATTCTTACTTGTAATTGACCTGTTTCATGTAAGCAAATTTGTTATGCCCATTTTGCTTCATTTTTTAAAAAATCCAATAAGTCTAAAATAGTACTTGCTAATGCTTTTCTTTTCTAGTGAATGCTAATGCACATCATAGTGAAGCAGATAAGCATTTGCTGGGAAGGATTGGAATAAGTGTTATGTTTTCATATTACAAAAAGCAGCAGTGGTCAAAGGTACTTTATTTAGTTATATTGTGTAGATTGTCTATCTTAAATATTTAATCTGAAAAAAGTAGCTAGTCCACATGTTTTGTTCAACACATGTTTAGTTCAACATATTACTTTAATATGCGGGCAATCCCTGAGTTACAAACATCCAACTTATGCCTGACTTCTTGTTACTAATGGGGGTAAGACAACAGGAAGCGATGAAATGTATCTCTAGGAAGAGAAATTCACTCCTAAAAGAGTTAGCATGGGGGGAAAGGTGTTTACTGAATATTTCCCACTAATCCCTGTTTTCATGGCAACTTAAGAACAAACCTATAGAATCTTATTTGTTCATAACCTAGGAACTCCCTGTATAGCAGCGTTTCTCAAACTGGGGGTCGGGACCCCTGAGGGGGTCGTAAGGGGGCGTCAGAGGGGTCACCAAAGACCTTAAGAAAATCCAGTATTTTCTGTTGGTCATGGAGAATTTTGGCCCCATTCTATTTTTGGTGGGGTACAGGATGCTCTTTGATTGTAGGTTAACTATAAATTCCAGCAACTACAACTCCCAAATGTCAATGTCTATTTTCCACTCCACCAGTGTTCATATTTGGGCATATTGAATATTCATGCTAAGTTTGGTCCAGATCCATCGTTGTTTGAGTCCACAGTACTCTCTGGTTGTAGGTGAACTACATCTCCAAAACCCAAGGTCAATGCCCACCAAACCCTTCCAGTATTTTCTGTTGGTTGTGGGAGTTCTGTGTGCCAAGTTTGGTTCAATTCCATCATTGGTGGAGTTCAGAATGCTCTTTGATTGTTGGTTAACTATCAATCCCAGCAACTAAAACTCCCAAATGACAAAATCAACAACCCCCCCCCCCCCCCCCCCCCCCCCCCCCCCCCCCCGCCTTCAATTCCACCAGTATTCAAATTTGGGCAAATCGGGTATTTGTGCCAAATTTGGTCCAGTGAATGAAAATACATCCTGGATATCAGATATTTACATGACGATTCGTAACAGTAGCAAAATTACAGTTATGAAGTAGCAACGAAAATAATTTTATGATTGGGGGGGTCACCACAACATGAGGAACTGTATTAAGGGGTCATGGCATTAGAAAGGGTGACAACCACTGCTGTATAGGATACTAGCTTAGGTCCCAGGCGTTGCCTGGGTAATTTGAAAAAAATCAAATTTTAAATTGTACAAAATGCATAATGTGGGGTGAACTACAACTCACATCATGCCAGGTTAACCCTCTGAAACTCCCACCAGTTTGTCATGTTGGGGTTCAGTGTGCTCTCTTGCTGCAGGGTACACTACAACTCCCACTATGGTGAGTCAGTCCCCTCAAACCCCTCCAGTAGGGTGAGTTAGTCAAGGGGGTTCTGTGTGTTAAGTTTGGTCCAAGTCCATCATCGGTGGAAGTCACAGTTTCTCTAGTTGTGAGTGAACTACAACTCCTGGAAAGGAAGGTCAGTTCCCCCCAAACCCCTCCAGTAATCAAATTTTGGCACATCGGGTATGTGTGCCAATTTGGTCCAGATCCATCAGTGTTTGGGTTCACAGTGCTCTCTGGATGTAAGTGAACTACAACTCCCCCAAATCAAGGTGGATTTCCCTCAAAGATCTCCAGGATTTTTTACTGGTCACGGAGGTACTGTGTGCCAAGTTACTTCCAGGTCCATCTTTGTTGGAGTTCAGAGTGCAGCTCTTAGATTGCAGGTGAACTATACATCCCAGGACCTACAACTCCTATAATTCATGGTGAATTCTCCCCAAACCTCTCAAGTATGTTCAGTTGCTGATGAATTCCTCTGTTCGCCATAGAAAAGAATAGGGTGGGGTCATGCAAATTCCACAACAATGGAGAGCGTAAAGAACACACATGTCTGTGGTGGAGGAAACACATACAATCTAGGATGGAATTGTCCCCGTATGAAAGCCTTCACTTGAGTAGTGCGCAGTGTGCGCAGTATTGGTGGAGGACATTGGCAGGGCTCTTGGACATGTTCATGGCGCTCGCTATAACCTGCAATATCATTGGAGGGAGGGCCCTTGGTGTCTTCTGAGTGGTAGAAGCTATAGCTGTTTGTGGAGGCAGGAGCTTGTCTGTGTAAGTCACATACACACAAACATATTTTCACTTTTATTATGTGTATAGATAGATAAATGCAGTGGGCTACAGAAGAAAGCTTCAAATTAACATTGGTAGACACTCCATAAACCTTAATACAATTAAACAGGCATTCTATAGTGTGAGGATGAGTTAGATAGAAAGACAAGCTAAAAGCCCAGAAAGTCAAGAAAAAGCTTGTGTTTCTTTAACTTCAGGCTTCCTATGGTGAAGTTCTTCTTAAATGACTTAATGTATTTCAAAAGTGACATAATTGAAGGTAAAACATATATTCTTGTACTGGCTAATGTTGATATAAAATTGCTTACATAAAGATACTGACTGCCCTTGAATTGTTCTACTGCATTGGATATTCAAAACAAAATCAAAAGGCTAATAGTTTTTGACCTAGATTAACACTTTAAATTCTGGGAGAAAATATCAGAACATAAATCTATAAACTTTTAATATTTACTGAAATAGTGAAAATTGTCATACATGCCAGATAGAGCTTTTTAAAAAGGAAAGGTCCACTCAAAAGTTAAGTTCTGTAAAGTTCTACTTGTTTCATTAGTCTAAGCTTTCACTTAACCCTTCCATGAAATGGTATTTGATTTTGAGTACATCTACACTGTAGAATCAATGCAGTTTGACTCTTTAACTGCCAGCGCTTAATGCTATGATATTATGGGGACTGTAAAAAAGTGGGTGCTAGAAACAATATCATACAAAAGCTGACTGGCACAACCTGGGGATCACAACCAGACACAGTGAAGACATCTGCCCTTGCGCTATACTACTCTGCTGCTGAGTATGCATGCCCGGTGTGGAACACACCATGCTAAAACAGTAGATGTGGCTCTTAATGAGACATGCCGCATTATCACGGGGTGTCTGCGCCCTACACCACTGGAGAAATTACACTGTCTAGCCGGTATCGCAGCACTTGACATCCACCGGGAAGTAGCAGCCAATAGTGAAAGGACCAAGGCAGTGACATCTCCAGCCCATCCCTTGTTTGGGTATCAGCCAGCACGTCAACGACTTAAATCAAGAAATAGTTTTCTAAGATCTACAGAGACACTCGCTGGAACACCCCAGCAAGCGAGAGTCCAAAAGTGGCAGGCTCAAACCAAGAACCTCAATCAATGGCTGATACCAAATGAGAGACTCCCCGCTGGGCACACAGAAAACTGGGTGACTTGGAAGGCGCTGAACAGACTGCGCTCTGGCACCACGAGATGCAGAGCCAATCTTAAGAAATGGGGCTACAAAGTGGAATCCACTACATGCAAGTGTGGAGAAGAGCAAACTACAGACCACTTGCTGCAATGCAACCTGAGCCCTGCTACATGCACAATGGAGGACCTCCTTGCGGCAACACCAGAGGCACTCTCAAGTGGCCAGCTACTGGTCAAAAGACATTTAATCAACTACCAAGCTTACAAATTCTGTGTTTTGTCTGTTTGTTTGTTTGTTTGTTTGTTTGTTTTTGTTAAAAATGTAACACAAATGTCTGGTTGCTGATGACACAATAAATAAATGAGGACTAGTTTTACAAGGTCTTTTGCTTTTCTGCCAAGGACAGCTGGCACGTCACCAGACTTCAACTCCCAGGATTTCATAGCATCAAACTATAGCAGTTAAAGGGGAGTCAGATTCCACTTTTACTTCGACTTCAGATTTATACGTATAGCAGCATAATAGTGTCCTTGAGATATAATTCTCCACCAGAGCAATTGTTCAAGTCAGGTTTCAGAAGCCAAAGCATTGTCATTAATTACATATCCATTTTTAGCATTTCAAGTCAAGTTTCAGCAAACTTTGAATAGACACTATCATAGCAGTTGTGTTTTGAGTAGTAATATTACTTCATAATCAGGGCATATAAGCAAAAGAGCCTTCCTGATATTAAAGGAATATATTGTAACTTGCACAAATTGTTATGTTTGAACCTTGGCAGCGTGGTTAGTACTGGGATGTGCGAATCCTAAGGGAAAATGTACAATTTTATATTTGAACAAAGTATTCTAAGACAAAATACTGATGCCATGGTAGCTCTCAATTCTGCTTTCCTCCTTTTGTTTCACAGGCCAAGAAGATTCTGGATGCACTTCATGCTTTAAAGATACCATTCACAATTTTGACAGGACTTTTTGGTTATGAGAGATTAGCATCAAGATGCCATATTATTAATGTTGCTGTGGAAATCTTTCTCAAATGTGGGTGCATAGATGGTGCAATGTGGGTGCTAAAAGGTAAGCTTTTGATTGGATGAAATGATGCTGGTTTTATACGCAGTTATTTAATATTATAACAAAATACTTGCTGAGAGAGCTAATATATATTTAATATTTTTGTTCCACACTTTACTTAGAAAGGCACTCCGCATGGCTTTCAATAAAAACAATACACTCCCTGTTTGTAATCTAAAAAGCCAAAAAGAAGTTAAGTTCTAAACCCATACACAATAATCTACAAATAACACTAAGGGATGAATAGAAGAATCTGGTATTAACCAATGTAGTAAATGTGTATCTACATACGGAAATGTAATTATTTTCTGTTATTGTAAACTGAGTACAATCGTAGAGTTGGAAGACACCACAAGGGCCATCCAGTCCAATATTTTGCTATACAGGAACACAATCAAAACACTCTTGACAGATGGACATTATTTTAAAAACCTCTAGAGAAGACTCCACCACACTGAGGTGGCATATTCTACTGCAGCACTTGCCATTGGGAAGTTTTTCCTAATATTTAGGTGGAATCTCTTTTCCCATAGTTTGAATTCATTGCTTTGTATCACAGACTTTGGAGCCATTGAAAGCAGTCATGCTCCCTCCTGAATATTAATACATTTTTACAATATATAATGTATTCATAATGAAGTTTTTATCACATGGATTTTCTAAGTAGACAATGATCTAATTAACCAATAAATCATATGTTACACAAAGATGGTATGGTATAACTGAATACCAAGCTAAGAATGATTTACAAATTGAATTCTATAAGCATGTATTCAAATTCTCACCATTTATGCTAGCTCCCTCCAAATGTATTGCATTGTACCTGTGTTAAGTGAAAACATTTTATTTCTTCTTCGTGGTCTTTGTGAATCACACAATTGGGTATTCTCTCACATGTGAAGAACCCTGTTTGGAACCTTCTAGAATCAATAAGCAGAAAAGGTTTGGTGGTATCCCCACTCACCATCTCAAGGCTATATAGAGCCTGGTTACCACCAAAACTCCTTAGTTCCTTTTGTCCATGTTGCAGCAGTTCAGGAACCTTCACTCATCAAGCTTGTTTTTGCTATACTAGTCCTTACTAGTGGCAATTCTGGTCTTCCTTCAGGGTCAGTCTCTGGTCTTTTGCAACTAGTTTCGTCACTATTGCTCCTATTTCTAAGTACTTTACCCCATGAGTACGGTGCTTCTGCTAACTTGGTATGGCTTCCACTACTAGGTTTAAACATGTTTGGGCAAGTTGCCTGGCACAGATACTCTTCAGTGCATCCTTTGCTTGGGCAAAGGTCATTCTGTCCACAACTGTATTCATTGCCAGGCATGAATACCTCAGGTGCAAAAAAAGAAGGCAACAAGGATTCTCTTCTTGCTGTACTAGCAAGCCTTTTCACCTATCTTGTTTGTCTCAGTGTTGACTTCAAAGTCCCATTTTGGGAACAAAGCATGTGGATGTGGGGCCTTCAGCTTCAGTCTCTGAGTTCGTCTTGGGGAAATCAGTGCCCCCTTTGCCATTGTCAATTAAGGTGGCCATGAAGCACATTGCTGAAGAAATGGCTGCCTCTCATTCAAAAAAGACAAAATCCTCGCTACTTCCCCTGAAAAAGCCCCAACTCCCAGAAAGAGTTACGAAGGCTAAGGAGGCCTAAAGAAAGGCTTGCAAAACCGAGGAGGACAGAAAGAAAAAGGCCAAGAAAGCAGCCAAAAAGGGTGACTTGCCAGCATCTCATACAGAACCACCAATTTTAATCACTAATGTACCAGGGGCTCAGAGTGCAGCCCCAGGGCCAGATTCCCCCAGTTTTCATGATAGAAGGTTGGGCTGATGACGTTCCACTGCCTCCGCCCGACTACAGAACCAAACTGGTCAAACCGGTGCAAGCCAAGCCCACTGCTGGCCTGGGGTTGCTCTCCGATTTGGCAGACAGACCAGAAAGAGTGGAAATCCCTTGGGTTCCTCTACACTGCCAGACTCCCTTGGTGCCACCCCACCACCAACATATCTCTCAACTGACCCATCGGCACTGAAAGGGCTACATGTGACTTTGGACTGCCAAGGCCCCTGACACCCCCTCCCAGACAGGGACCATTATATGCCTACAGTGGTTATGACTTCCCCGAGAGATTAATCTGTTTAGTGGATGATGATTTCCCAGATGATTACACTGGGGAACAGTTTTTCACATAATTCCTGTTGAGTTCAATTTTTCAGCTCTTTCAGATTTAAATAGGCATGCTTGAATGGGGGACAACCTTGATGAGCAGCAAAAGATTCATACTTGTCTAGGTTATTCGGTTACACATGAGACAATGGTGAGAGGTTGTGTGCTGCTCTATATAATGAATCATATTCCAAAATGTAATCGGTGTTCTAGTCTGTACACAAGGAGTTAGCAGATTTTTAAAATTGTATATATGTACGTCTGTAAATTTAAGTGACAAAAATAGTGAAGATTTTGAAATTGAAGATGACTCTGTTCTTCAAGGATCTGATCAGCATGGGTTGAATGATTTGGCACAAGATTTGGAACTATCCAAAAAGGCTTCAGAACTAGCATCAAGACTCCGCGAGAATTACTTGCTTGAAAGAGGAGCAAAGGTATCCTACTTTCGATCAAGACAAAGTGCGTTTCAGCAGCACTTTCAAAGTGACGGTGGTTTTATGTATTGGCTTAATATCCATGGTTTAATGGAGAAATTGGGAATTCCAATCTGTAATTTGTATAAAATATACAAATGTACAAATACTGAAAAGTATTATACATCATTATTAACTCAAGTTAAAAGCATATAAAATCACAGCACCTCCTGACTAGATCTTAAACACCTTTATCTTTAAACGCCTGTGTGAATAAAAAGGTTTTAGCCTGCCGCCAGGACAACAGGGAGGGGACCATTTTGGTTTCCCTGGGCAGGGAGTTCCAGAGTCAAGGGGCAGCAACCAAGAAGACCCGCTCTCTCATTCCCATTAACCAAGCTTGAGATGGGGGCTGGCCTCTCCTGAGTATCTCAGGACCTGGGCAGGTTCGTACAAGGGGATGCGGTCAGCCAAATAGCCTGGACCTGAACCGTCATGTCACATCATCATTGAGTATTAGGCCTTGTGATTTCTTTTTTGTCACTATTTATGACTGTATTTTGACAACTTTTAAAATATCAGTATTAATATCTCCAGAGTCAGACTGGGTAATAAATACACTATCATGGCCTTGTGATAGAATGGATGTACTTACTCGACATAACTTGTTATGCACAATGGCATCAGAATATATTACAAAGTCACAATATGGAAAAGCATTTGAAGTCTTGAAAAATCTACCAGGCTTTCAGAACTCTTGTGGTAAGTGTTTTGTCTATACTTACAGCTAATAAATATATGCAGTTGATAAGTCATTTTTGACCAGTGATACTTTCTCTGTATCCCATAAGTGGTTGATATAAATGGCTCATTTCTTTAGACAAAGATTGGTAACTATCCCTTCTTTTTTTTTCTCCTTCATATAACCATCTTGTATTTATCCTGTATTTACTTCCTTGAGATTTGTCAAATTAAGTAATTATGTTGTGTGCATGTCTTAAAATCCCAAAGGAATAAATAAATAGTAGATGTGATATTTCCGTAAAATGCTAAAGTTTAACAATGAATATTTGTCATTTCATTCTAAAGTGTGTTGGCTATCACAGGTACCACTACCGATGTGTTATCTCTGCAAGAACAGATAGTAAAATTTGGCAGGAATAGAATCAGCAATGTGAATTATTGAAAGAAGATTTGAATAGGAATCTTGCATTTCTGTCCAACAGCCTGCCAAATTAAAACAATTTGAATATTTTTTGCAAGCATTTTGAAAAAGGTTACCCTGGTGGTGCAGCAGGTTAAACCACTGAGCTGTTGAACTTTCTGACTGAAAGGTTGGCGGCTCAAATCCAGGGAGTGGAGTGAGCGCTCGCTGTTAGCCCCAGCTTCTGCCAACCTAGCAGTTTGAAAACGTGCAAATGTGAGTAGATCACTAGGTACTGCTTCTGCAGAAAGGTAACAGCGCTCCATGCAGTCATGTTGGCCATGTGACCCTGAAGGTGTCTACAGACAACTCCAGCTCTTCAGCTTAGAAATAGATATGAGTAGCAACCCCCAGAGTCTGACACGACTGGACTTAATGTCAGGGGAAACCTTTACCTTTTTTTTCAAAACACTTCTACATTAATATTTTCCCCAGTTAGCAAAGTGATGATATATGAAAAACATTTAAAGAATATGCATAAGATGTATTAATTGAAGAGTGCAATAAAATATTTGAGAATCATGACATTGCATTTCAGCCTCACTTAGTTGGTGTCACCAAATTGTCAGGGCTTGTTATGAGGACGAAGTTGAAGAGGATCTTCGCCCAGTATCTGACTCTACCTTTGTAGAGCAGGAGCAGCAGCCTCAAGGAAGTAGGGATACAGAGTCAGGGCAGGATCAGAAGTTTCAGGAAGCAGATCAGGAGCTAAGTATTCCAGCTAGGCTGCAATTAAGGACTAATGCCATTCAACTGAGGAGATTTTGTATGTTGGCTCAGAGGAATGCCAACAGGTGGGAGCACTTAGGAAAGTAGTGTAAGTAACTGGAGAGTGGATCAGTTAGCTGCTGGGAGGAATATTGGTGTAATTGCTACAGCTGGAACTGCTGCTGGTAAACTTTTGATTGGACCTTGACTTCAGCGAGTGGGCTACGTTTTAGATTACAGTATCTGTGTTGAGATTGCCTGGCATTTAAGTTACTGGAAAGAACTCTTGATTATTTTATTGCTTCACCCTTTTTTGGACTGACTACTGTGTATGACTCCCGGCTGCAATTTGACTGTGTGATGGTGAGCCGCTCCTTTAGCAGCAAGTCTCTTGACAGGATTGTGATGCTAGGTGCCTAAACAACTACAGATGGGATTGATTGAGCTCTCAATTGATAACATTTTGAAGTCATTATTTCATTCTAAGAAAAGTCCAATTTAAATAAATGCAGTAGAATATGTACACTTCAGCAACTTGCCTGAATAATGCTTTCTTGATTTTCAACCACTTATTGCTGCAATTTTACATTCTCCTCCCTAACCCAAATCAAGATGCTCTTAATGTCACAAATGACAGATACCCATCTAGAGCAGTGGTTCCTAACCCCAGGTGTTTTGGCCTACAACTCCCAGAAATCCCAGCCAGTTTACAAGCTGTTAGGATTTCTGGGAGTTGAATGCCAAAACATCTGGAGACCCACAGGTTAAGAGCTACTGATCTAGATGATCAACTGAAACTGCAGACCTCTATGTTGCAGCTAGATATTCAGATGCTTTCCAACAAAAAGTAGATTCAACGAAGTCATTAAAAAGTTAGTTAACTTTCAAATTAACAAATAGTTTTCATTTTTTTGAAATTTGGACTTTTATAAAATAGCGTATGTTTTAATTGTCTTGAATGCTGTGTTATTTGATTACAGCTAATTTAATGTGTTCTTCCAACATGAAAAGGTTCCCTACTCTGAAATAGGGGAAACATGCAGTGCTGTGGTTCTCACCATTATGTTGCTAGAGTCAGTGGGCTAATTTGCAATATTCTTCTTTTACAGATACTCTGGATGTATCACAATACAGCCTTTTGTTTAATAAGCTGCTTAGCACTTGCCTAGAAAACCATCACCTTGAAATATCATCGGCTGTTGTAGACTTCATGCTTACAAAGAACATACCTGTTGAATTTAATTTACTTAGAGAATTAATCACGACACTAGGAAGAAACTGTTTGTGGCTTAAAGCCAGGACACATTATAAAAGTAAGCTCTCTTCAGAACAATATCTGCTATATTAAAGTGTTGAAAAAATTCACATAGAAAAGTATGGGCTAGAGTCCAAGCTACACTTATGTATCACTTGGCGTTGAAGATTATGTTAAAATTTTGCTGGGCTGTTTAATGGGTGCTCTATTTGGTTATTATTTTAAAGATATCAGGTACTCAATTACACAAAAAGCTATATTGTGCCAGAATGGAAGTGAGCCAGACATTAGAGACGATCTTCCATTGTTGGTTGATATTTTTATGTCTTGCTTTAAGATATGAATAGAAACTGTGACTTTAAAAAAACTACTTGTTTGAATTCTGTGCAGATTTTCTGAAGAGGGGCCCTTTTTAAAAATTATCTTTTATATATGTTTTAGCTGTAGTAGTTTCCCTTAGGGAAATTAGGAGTTTGTGCCCTCAATGATAGCCATTTCATTGAATTAATTCTGCTGCCTGCCTGCTTACCTCTCTTCTTGGTAGCCATTTAGTGAGTAACTATAACATGCAGCATTTCAAATGTACTCACTGTCCCAAAAGGAATGGGATCCCAACATGTATTTTGAAAGCAGAGAAATAGCAGATAATAGAGTAGCTGGAGAAGGGGGATGAACGACTTATTAGTTTTCCAATGACAGTGGAATTGCATGGTCATCATTTAGAAAATGAAGAGTTTCACAGTTTGATAAGCATGCACGGAGCACTTCTTGTCTTTCAACCAACAGGATAGGATTACCTTCTCTGCTCCTATATCCCATGTGTTGACAGCAATTATTGTAAGGCTGGAAATGGAAGCAACTGAAAGTTATATAGAAGTTCAAGTGATTTCAGATGATAAATGAGTCAATTATCTATAGCAGAGCTTTCCAAACTATCAGCTGCAGTGTGCAGGTGTGTCTTGCAAACCTAAAGAGAAACCTCTGAAACTATGTGAAATAAACAAGTGAAAGGCTTTAATGAGATATGTTGTGTCCATATTTCTTATATGGAGTTGGTTTAATCTCCAGTTTGCTAGTAAACTGAATTAATATGTCACAAAAAGATGCATGTCTAAAAAATATGTCACCAACATGAAATCTTTGGAAAGCTCTGGTCTATGCACATACCCAAAGATGTAACCTTTTAGCACCTTAACCCTTTCATTATATTTTACTGACATTTTAGGTGCTTTAGGATTGGGCTGCTACCCACCACTGGAGGGAAATCTTTACCGTAAACTTCTCCTGATTCCATCTTACATGACTGAGGTTGAGATGCTGCTAGCAATTGAAATTTTCTTGGTTGCAAATGCTAGCAGTATTCAGAGTCTGGGTGCTTCCAATCAGTCACTTCAAATAGTACTAAAAAGGTTGGTAAATTAGTAAATTACCTAGATATATAATTGTATAGTCTATCAAGTTCTCATTTGTTGACTTTGTTGACTTTGTTGACTATCAAGTTCTCATTTGTTGTGGTCTCTGTACATCACGCAGTAAACTTTGTGCTTGCATAGAGACTTCTTTTGTAACATTCTAGAGTTGTAGAATGGGAAGCTTTGGAATATCCTCACCTCCTCCCTATTGCACATGTCCCAACCACCAAGCTACTATTTTCTCAGCTTCATTTAATTTGCCGATAGAGAAACTCCCCTTTGGTTGTTCTTGAGTTTTTTAAAAAGGCTGAACCTCCTAATCTGCTTTCATTATATTTTCCGTTTTCTATATATCCTTACTCTTAATAATTTTATTCTTCTTTTCATCCCCCCCCCCCCTCTATATATATTCCTCATACCACTCTCCCTTTTCCCCATCCTGTATGGCCTCTTCAGTTCCTTTTAAGCTTTGCACTGTTGCTCTTTCCAAAGGTCACTTGAAGTGGCTGTTTTATCTCAGGGAGATAAACATTGTTGATAAGTGTTAGATTTACAGAGGATTTACTTCACAAACTGACAAATTAGCTCCCCATCTTAAGTCATTCTGATGGGAACACTCCCCCCCCCCCAAGTTGATCTCTCAGGCAGCCTAGAATCAACCTCTCTCTATCATTTTGGTACGAATCAATGAGACTAAGAAACATCAAGCAGCCTCTATACCAATGGCTGACTGCCAAAGAAACAGCACATACTATTCTGACGTCTCCATCAAAGACTGCTGAATCTTCAGTGGGATGTCACTCTTCATAATCTAGCCAGCAACTAAGACCACTCACAAAGTTATTTTTGGAATTGTCTTTATTGCTTAGATTTCTACAGTCCAAGAAAAAGTCGTTAATGGCGTTCTCCTCCTATCCTCACTTCCCTGCCCCAGACCCTTATCACTGTTTTCCCACAAGAAAAGGTTAGTCCATCCAGCTGTGCTCCAACCTTTCCACCAGAACCTCTGCTGGCCTTGAGATGTCATGGAGAAGATTTATGGTGAACAAAAAAACAGCTCCTGACATGGGGGTGTAAGACTAAGATTCTTTAAAGCAGATACACAAATTCTCTCAAGTGTTGGATGTGACAGATCCTCTTTGTTTGATACTGAAGAAAATATTGAAATACCTTAAACAACCGATGCTCTCGACACTATCCGCTGCAGTGCCAACCACCACTTTTGTTACTGAAACCATTATCAGTCCCAGCACAAATTGATACCAGTGTAGAATTGGTGATCTATTGGAGGAGCTTCATATAATTCAGACCAGACAGACCAACCTCAAGGAGAGCCTGTCACTCATCAGCCTCTCCCAGAAGCTCTAACTCAGAAAAAAGTATCTTTCTGCAGGGAAGGATCATACTCATCCATGAGACACTCCAACCATGAAAGTGATAGGGACCTAAACCTTCACCATTGGGAGGACTCCCTCTGTACAGTCTCCTGCATCAGTAGACAAATGAACATTAATGAAAGAATACTCAGGGTATACTATTCCTGCTTACTCTCATTGTGATTGTTATCATCACAAACCCTCTTAGTATCCTTTACAGTCTCGGTACCATAGCCAATCTAGATCCCTGGAATCCATGCACAGTTACCTGTCCTGGTATCAGTCATCAACCTTGTTGGATTTGAGATGACAGCTCACCTTCATCAAAACACAGGCCCATGTCCCTGCTACCCAGGCCTTCACAATTCTCCCTGATGTCAACAGCACTCTCAAATCTACGGGTCCCAACACAATCAAGATTTACTGACATAGCGTCATCGAACTTGCCAAGTCCTCCACAAATGACCCTCTGCTGCAATGGAGTTGTCCACTGACAGTTTGCAAGTGCCCCACCTCTGACATCATGTCAATACTTCCCTTTATACCCCTAACGGCTTTCTCCTATCCAATTGCAGCATCTGTGTGTAGACTCTCAGTCTCCTCAGACTCCATCTCAGGGGGTGTATTACGAATCAAAATCTCAATCCCCAGATTCTCCATTTGCATTATCAGCTGGCAAACCTCAAAATAAAATACACCTCTTTTTTCAGAGGATATTTTCCAATGACGGCTGAGACTGAGATTCATCCAACCACCTAGTACCAGTGACTGATTCAGTATTCCAGTTGGTAGATGCCCAAGCTATAACACCACCAATAATTCCCCTACTACTTAAAAGACCTCGGGGTGGCTTGCAGCAAACAAACAAATACAGTAGTAGACAAAGCCAGACACATTACTATCCCCGTCACATCGACTGTAACATCTATATAGACTTCAATAAGGCACAGCCCAAGACACACCCTTGTCAGAATTCCATTGTCGTGGAGGTCTCAAATTCCAAAAGGGATCTCATCTCCATTTGATAAAAAAAGGAAGGCATCTAAATGTCGAGGCAATTCAAACATGCCAACTCACTAAATGCTCAATACCTGAGAATTTGAGAGTGTCTTTGTCATGAGCTGGGATGCCTCTGTAGAGGTATTTTCTAGCCAGATCTGTACAAAGCAGCCAGTTGATCTCATCTAACATTAGATCCCAAATTGATGCTGCCTTTGGCCACGCTGTCCTTGTTTCTGTCATGCAATGAGTGACCTGCACACCTTCCTCCAGTAAGCTTCCCCATCACCTATTCTGTGATGCACAGCAGCCACCAAGAAAAACAGGTTGCTTACCTGGAACTGTGGTTCTTTGGTCATCTGTGCACTCACACAAACCCGCCGTACCGTACCTTCTTAGGTTATTGATACTTTGTCCTGGGTTCTCAAAATTAAGAGAACAATAGCTTGGCAGTTGGGACATGTGAGATAGGAGGAGGGTCTTCCCAAGCTAAGAGGGTTCTAGAATGTTCTGAACAGGGTTTCTGTGCAAGCATAAGATACTAAAGCATTGAAATACCATACTGTTGAAGCGACTCATCCTCTGGAAAGGATGGTTCTCCTGTGAACATGCCCGTTGACCATTCAAAATCAATTGAACTGGAAATCACAGTGCTACAGAAGTGATAAAGGAGGTAATTATCAGATATTTTGTGTGTGAAAGTATTGCATTTTAAGTAGTCTTCCGTGTGATAAAAATGGAATAGCAACATGCCCCAGCCAAGGTGACTATTATTCTAGTGCTATTGTGCTTTACTGATGTGCAGTAAGGCTCTTAGAAATGATCAAATTGTCCTAGTTATGCTGACAACACATCATAGCAATTAACCTATTTTTTTTCTTACTTCCTAATCATTCTTCCATGTCATGTTGGGCACACTACTACTGCTACTTCTTCAATGTTTCATTCTTTTCTTGCCTTTTTTCCTGATATTATAAATGTGATATAATACCATCCACAGTCAATTTATGTTAAGTCAGAATGTGAATATGCATAACAGAAATGTACATATTCCTTGGAATGTTATGTTTCTTGTAACAACCTTGATCCTATGTGGAAGTTGTCTTTCTAGTAATTCTTTATCCATCCTCTCTGATATTTTTATTTCCTCTTCGATAAGTGTTCAGTTATTTAGTTCTCAAATTTTCATCCAGTATTTTCTCATTCTTATTTTAAATGGTGCACTATACTTCAGTTGGTATTAAAATTGTATTGCTTATTAAAACAATGCTTGGCAGTAAGAGGAAGTGTTTCCTAAACTGTGTTGTTTGTACTTTGCTACATAATACATTAGTCATATTTGTCCTTAACTTTAAAATGTGACAAAAGTAAATTGAAATATATTTTAAGAAGAAAAATGAGATAGTAACTCATGCCCATTGCTATACTAACATGGCCACATTTCCTTTTCAGATGTGAAGCCAAAAATGTACACAAAGAAGATGACTACCAAAGTGCAATCAGGAGGCTGATTAAAGCTGCTTGTATATCTTCACCAAAGCTTTTCATAAAATACTTGACTGTGAATATTAAGAAGGAGCATGTTTACAGTTTGGAATATGCTTCTGTTCTTAATTGGTTAAAAGAGAACATGAAATGGGCAGGCAAAGTCTGGCTTTTTTAGTCACTTTGTTTAGATTTCAGTTCATAATAATCATTGTTAAAAACAAGAAATCAATAAAGATTGTTTCTGTTGTGTTCATGCTTTTCTCATTGTTTTTATAATCCAGTGTTAACATTTCTACCAAGTGAATCATTACAGAGAAGAGGGTATTCTTAAACTTTTAACAAAAGAATGGACCCTTTCCTCTCTGTACTTGCTGATACTAGGGGTCAAAGATTTGAGGCCACATAACTGTTATCGCCTTCATCAGGTGAAAAAAGAAGGGCAGTGCAGCAACCATAACTGATGCAGGGAATTAACAATGAGGAAGGAACATATATAAGTAGTGAATAACTTTAAATACGGTACTTTGCATACTCTTTTGTATTGATATATACGTTATAGCCCGAAAAAACCTACAACAACCCAGCTTTATTTGCATCCCGTCCCCTCTCCCTGAAGGAACTCAGGGTGGCTTACAGCAAATAAACGAATACAGTAAATAAAACCCTTCTCTACCTCTTTCCTTCCTCCCTTTTTCTTCCCCCTTTCTCTCCTTTCTTCCTTCTCTACCCCTTTCCTTCCTTCATTTTGCTTCCATCCTTTTTCCTTCCTTCCCTCCCTCTTTCTCTCCTTCTTTCCCCCATTCCTTCACTCCCTCTTTCCTTCTCTCCTTCCTTCCTTCCTTCCTTCCTTCCTTCCTTCTCTACCTCTTTCTTTCCTTCCACCCTCGTTTTCTTTTCCTCCCTCTTTCTCTCCTACATACAATAAAATAAACATACACATTAAAAACCATAAAATTAAAATCATCTAAACATTAAAATCAACCACACATTATTTCCTAGGCTCAAATTCTTAAAAAGAGCCCCAGATTTTGCAAGAAAGCAGGCCTAGAAAGACACATTTCCTCCCTCTAATATTTGATAGTTTTAGTATACTCAAAGAACTGAAGTTTTGTCTCTTTTGTAGTATGTCTATACTTTTTTATACATTCCCTTAATTAATTTTGCATGCCGAATCAGCACATGATTAGAATCGGAACTTGGAGATAAAGTAGGGAAACGACGTCCAATTGGCCTGCGTGACAAACCCCATGGAAAGAGCCGCCACAGGCAGGGCACGAGGAAGACTTATCTTGCGCATGCGCAAGCAGTCTAACTCGGCGTGCTCGCCAGGCAGTGACGTCACGCCTCCGGCCCCGCCCACCGCGGTCCTCCTTCGCCGCCTCAGGTGCCGAGTGTGTCAGGGAGAGAGTGAGCGGGCCTGCCCTTCGGAGCCGTGCCTTCCTCAGGGGGAGATGCAAGGAGGCGGGGAAGGTGAGCGGCTTGTGGGGCGAGGCCCAGGCGAAGGCAACGGAGGGCTTGGGTGGGAAATGTGGGCGGCTTAAACGAGCGGAGCCGAGGCTGAGGCTGAGGCCAAGTTGGAGAGAGAAGGCCCCTCAGGTGGCGGTTTTCCTCAAGAGCGAAGGAAAGGCCTCCCGCCTCACAACTGTAGGGGCTCTGGAGCAGGCATGGGCAAACTTGGGCCCTCCCGCCAGGTGTTTTGGACTTCACCTCCCACCATTCCTAACAGCCTCAAATCCTTTCCATTTCCCTCCTCTCTCCCCTTCGCCTGCTTCAGTGGGGAAGGTGAGATCCTTTGAGTCTTCAGGGATTTGCCTCAGTCCTCTTTCTTTCTTTCTCAACTCCATATGGTTGACAAAACTCCAAGGACATCCCAGGGTTCCTCCACTGGCCAAGACACTGTTCACAGCCCCATTTCTTCGCTGGAAGTGAAAAATGTAACTTCTTTTCAAGTCAATATGTGTTACAAAGGTTCTCCAAAAACATGTAACTGTAACTTTAATTATTCATAACTCATTACTATTTAGTACATAGAAACAACATGCCAGTCTGCTATCAAAGTACCTTGGGAAATCTGACTTGGCCACGGTAGTCCACGCTCTGGTTACATCCCGTATAGACTACTGCAACGCGCTCTACGGGGGGTTGCCTTTGAAGACTGTCTGGAAGCTTTAAATGGTCCAACGGACGGCAGCCAGATTACTAACAGGAGTGGCACTCGAGGAGCATACAACTCTTCTGTTGCGCCATCTGCTACTGGGCACAAATCAAAGTGCTGGCTTTAGCTTATAAACCAGTGGTTCTCAACCTTCCTAATGTCACGACCCCTTAATATGCTTCCTCATTTTATGGTGACCCCCAACCATAAAATTAGTTTCGTTGCTACTTCATAACTGTCATTTTGCTGCTGTTATGAATAGTAATGTAAATATCTGATATGCAGGATGTATTTTCATTCACTGGACCAAATTTGGCACAGTGCCATTAGGGCATAGGCCAGGGGTCGGGAACCTTTGGCCCTCCAGCTGTGGTGGACTTCAACTCCCACAATTCCTTGAGGCTCGGCATTCGCCCCAAAGGCTTACCTTGGCCCAATGCCGAGCCTCAAGGAATTGTGGGAGTTGAAGTCCAAAACACCTGGAGGGCCAAAGGTTCCCTACCCCTGCAATAAGCCCACGTTTGAATACTGGTGGGATTGGAGGAGGGTATTGATTTTGTCCTGTGGGAGTTGTAGTTATAGTTCACCTACCATCAAAGAGCATTCTGAATTCCACCAATGAGGGAAATGAACCAAACCTGGCACACAGTTCTCCCATAACCAACAGAAAATACAGGAAGGGTTTGGTGGGTAGTGCCCTTTGGTTTTGGAATTGTAGTTCACCTACATCCAGAGATCACTGTGTAATGATGGATCTGGACCAAACTCTAAATGAAGACTCAATATGCCCAAATGTGAACACTGGTGGAGTTTGGGGAAAATAGAATCCTGACAATTGGGAGTTGTAGTTGCTGGGATTTATAGTTCACCTGCAATCACAGAGCATTCTGACCCCCACCAACGATGGAATTGAACCAAACTTGGCACACAGTCTCCCATGACTAATAGAAAATACTGTATGGTTTTGGTGGGCAGTGTCCTTTGGTTTTGGAGTTGTAGTTCACCTCCATCCAGAGATCACTGTGGGCTCAAACGATGATGGATCTGGACCAAATTCTACACGAATACTCAATATGCCCAAATGTGAACACTGGTGAAGTTTGGGGAAATAGAATCTTGACATTTGGGAGTTGTAGTTGCTGGGATTTATAGTTCACCTACAATCAAAGCATTCTGAACCCCACCAACTATGGAATTGAACCAAACTTGGCACACAGTTCTCCCATGACCAACAGAAAATACTGGAAGGGTTTGGTGGGCAGTGACCTTTTGTTTTGGAGTTGTAGTTCACCACATCCAGAGAGCACTGTTGACTCAAACAATGATGGATCTGGACCAAACTACATGAATACTCAATATGCCCAAATGTGAACACTGGTGGAGTTTGGGGAAAATAGAATCCTGACATTTGGGAGTTGTAGTTGCTGGGATTTATAGTTCACCTGCAATCACAGAACATTCTGAACCCCACCAATGATAGAATTGGCCCAAACCTCCCACACAGAACCCCCATGTGGGTCACAGCAAAGCGTGGCAGGGGACGGCTAGTTATTCATAACCCATCACAATTTAGGACATAGAAACAGCATGCAAAATGGTTCTCCCTCTGTGAACCATCTCGGAGGCTAAGATTGTTGGGGGAGGCTGAATGAAGCAGAGAGTGTTTGAGGACCGGGACCTCCGTCGGGATACCAAGGTGTTTGTTTATAAAGCTGTTGTCCTCCCAACCCTGCTATATGCCTGCGAAACGTGGACTGTCTACAGACATCACATGCAACTCCTGGAACGATTCCATCAGCGCTGCCTCCGGAAAATCCTGCAAATCTCTTGGGAAGACAGACGGACAAATGTCAGCGTGCTGGAAGAAGCAAAGACCACCAGAATTGAAGCCATGGTCCTCTGCCATCAACTCCGCTGGACCGGCCACGTTGTCTGGATGCCCGACCACTGTCTCCCAAAGCAGTTGCTCTACTCCGAACTCAAGGACAGAAAATGGAATGTTGGAGGGCAGGGAAAGAGATTCAAAGATGGGCTCAAAGCCAACTTTACAAAATGTTCTTTGGAGGGGAAAGAATACAAAATCAATTGCATTGACACTTTTTCTTTCCTTTATGAATTTCGCAGGTAATTTGGAATAAAGATTAAGTGGTGAAATGTTTTGTCATTGGGAGGCAGTGAAGAGGTAAGGTAACTCTATCCCTATCATTATAAAGTTTAAGGGACAAGTTTTAATTAATACATTGATTAAAAGTGACCTCCATTTGAGATTATAACTGGTTTGTTAAAGATTATCAGTTTGTCACTTTGTCAGTTAGAAACCAGCCAGACATGCTTTCATGGAATATTAATTTCCCTCTGTGTCGTTGTGCTACATGTCTAAGCAGGTCTACAAAGAATATCAACATTTGCTTTTCTTCCAATATTTAGCATATTCGAATGTCAGTGGTACATTCAACATATTTCTTGTGGGGGATGAAACTGTATTAACTTGGTTGTTAGGGGCAAAGCCTGGACAGATAGTATTGCCATCTTATTATCAAACTAAAATTACCAATTTGACTGCCTGTATGGTGTATTATAGTTTATCTAAACATGTATTAGAAGATCTCTGCTCTTGTATGAAAAAAAAAAATCACAGAACAACCACAACAACGTTGGTAGCTTCAGACCTATTCCTGTATTTTTGCCTAAATATGCTTCAGTGTCCTTTGCACTCTATAAAAAATTATAGAGCAGACTACCCCAGTCTGGTGCCACTCAATCATCCAGCTTTAATAGGTGATCCCTTGGCAATGTGCATATTTTATACACCTATTCCCTTTTTGTTTTTGTATCAACCATAATTTTTGTTTAGAATGTTATTCTCTCACTTTAAAATAACAAAGCACCAAAGAAGTGAGAAAAAACTACAAAAATAAAAAATCACCAGCTAATATTCTAAGAGGTAATATAATTTAAATTGCAAAGAGACATTGCACATACCTCACTGTGATGAAGAAGCAAAGATGTATACAAAAGGAAAGTAATATTGTGGAAGTTCCCTTTTCAAGTATTTGAAAATGCTCCATCTAAAAGGAGAATTCTTCTTGGGGCAGCCCATGTATAATTTGGACCTGCTTTATTATGAGTACTGTTGTTGTTCTGGCTGCATCCTTTTCTAAAATAGGGTTGGAACTGGAGGAATAGTCTGCTATTGTGTTAATTGTTTTTAAATACTTTGTTTGATGTTAGCTTTGAATTGTTGCTACTACTTTGTTAACCGCTTTGAGTCACCTAAGGGCTGAGAATAGCGGTATACAAATGAAGTAAATAATAAATAAATAAATAAATAAATAAATAAATAAGAGATCCTTGGCAGCCGTCATAAACAAATGCTTATTTAATTCTGTATTTTCTGGTAATGCAGACCTGTGAATTATCCTCCTAACTACCTGTTAATGCATAGTCCATTCTAATTTTATAACTATTTTCCCCATACATGTTATAAAGTAGGTTTGTGGAAAAGATTGCTGTGTAATGTTTTGTATATTTTAATAGGTTTTAATGGTTTTCACTATTTTAATAGCTTCATGTTGAATTCTGTTTTAGTATTTATATTTTGTAGCTTTTAAATTTTACAGTGTATTGTTTTTAGGATTGTTAGCCACATTGAATCACTTTTAAGAGAAAGAAAGCGGAATATAAATATAAATGTAATAATAGTATTATTTATTTAGGATGAATTTTGTAATCTATTGGATTAGTAATACTTTTACTTACATTTTTAAAGGCTGTGTTTCAAGACATTACCATTGCAGCAGGCTGTCCAGGCGAGAGCTTTATCGGGGGCTGATGCTGTCAATGCTCTGAGACCATTTTATTTTGCAGTGCATCCAGATTTTTTTGGCCAGCATCCCAGAGAAAGGGTAAATATATTTATTCTTTTTTTTTATAATAGTTTTTTATTAAGATTTTAAGAATAACATCGAAAGAGGGAGAATATTAAAAAAGATGATAGGAAAGTAGGAAAAAAGTAAGAAGTACATCCCCCTACCCCCAAGTCCACCAGAAAATACAAAAATATAAAAGACACACAAAAAAAAGAAAGAAAAAATAGGAAAAAATAAAATAAAAATTGACTTCCATCTTTCCATCAGGTGTTGTGTCCTCAATGATTTTTCCATTATATCCACTTCATAATGTTCCTCTTATTTATTTATTTCCTTTTCGTAGTTTTCATATAGAGTCCAATCTGTCCTCTTTATCGGGTTCCCGGTATTCTTTTTCAAGAAAAAAGTTAATTCGTCCATTTCTCTTATTTCTCTTAATTTCCCTAACCACTCTTCAGTGGTAGGGATATCTTCCTGTTTCCAAAACTTCGCCAATAATATTCTCGCCGCTGTTGTAGCATAGGTAAATAGTCTATCTTCGTTCTCATCTAATTGTAATTCCAAATCTGTAAATCCCAATAGATAATATTCTGGTTTCTTCTTAAAGACTCTCTTCAAAAAATTTTGTAGCTCTTCATGTACTTTCGTCCAATACTTCTCTATTTCTTTACACGTCCACCACATATGATAAAAAGTACCTGTTTGGTGGCAACCCTTCCAACATTTATCAGAAGTATTCTTGTTCATTAAAGATAGTTTCTTAGGAGTGGTGTGCCATCTGTGGAACATTTTTATCCAGTTTTCTTTTAAATCTGTTGCATATACATATTTCAATTTTTTGTTCCACATCTGCTCCCACTCCCTAAATTGGATAGGTCTTCTTATATTTTCGGCCCATTTTATCATACATGTTTTCACTTGCTCGCACTCCGTTAGCCAGGTTAATAATGTATTGTAAATAACTGAAATTACTTTCTTATTCGTCTTTAATATTTTGTCCCAAATTGACTCTTCCCAGGCGAAGCCTATCTTATTGTCTTGCTTGATATATTCTTTCATTTGCAAGTAGTGTAACCACGTCAAATTACCATTTATTTCTTTCATTTGCTGAAAGGATTTAATTTCCATAGTATTCCTCACTAATATGTCTCTATATGTTGGCCACGCTCTCCAACCTAGTAATCTTCTTTGATGCGCCTCCATCGGTGAAACCCATAGAGGCGTTTTAGTATAAAAATGATTCTTGTATTTCATCCAAACTCTTAATAATGATGCTCTTACAAAATGGTTTCCAAAATTTTTTTTCCTTTTTTTCTCGGTCGTACCACGTGTAGGCATGCCAGCCTACACGTAGATCATGTCCTTCTAAGTTCAGACCTTTTCCATTTTCTAGTGTCATCCAGTCTCTTATCCACAAAAGGGCACTAGCCTCATGATATGTTTTCAGATCTGGGAATCCCAGTCCCCCTTGCGTTTTTTTATCAATTAAGTTCAAATATTTAATTCTCGGTCTTTTCCCATTCCACACAAATTTCAATAATTCTTTCTTCCATTTAATAAATTCTGTTTGATTTTTGATTATGGGTATATTTTGAAATAAAAACAATAATTTAGGTAAAACATTCATTTTTATAAGCGCAATTCTTCCTAATAGAGATAATTTCAGTAAGCTCCATTTCTTTAAATCCTTCTGTATCTTACTCCAAGTCAAGTCATAATTATTCTTCAATAGTTGGCCATTCTTTGCTGTCAACCAAATCCCCAGGTACCTTAATTTTTTCACTATTTCCATTCCTGTAATCCTTGTAATTTCTTCTTGGTCTTCTTTCCCTATATTTTTAGTTAGTATTTTAGTTTTCCCTTTATTTATTTTGAGGCCTGCCACTTTCCCAAATTCTTGTATTTTTTCAATCCAATTTTGTAAATTATTAATTGGGTCTTCCACTATTCCCAATAAATCGTCCGCAAAAGCTCTTATTTTGTATTCATATTTCCCGATTTTTACTCCTTTAACATTTGTATCTTCTCTTATTTTCATCATCAATGGTTCCAACGCCATTATAAAAATTAACGGGGATAACGGACATCCCTGTCTCGTTCCTTTTGTAATCTCAAATTCCTCCGATAATTGGCCGTTTATCCGAATTTTTGCCTTTTGTAGATCATAGATCGCATCAATTGCATTTATAAATTTAGTTCCCATATCCAATTCTTGAATCAATATCTTAAAGAAGTCCCAATTCAGATTATCAAATGCCTTCTCGGCATCGATTGATAAAATAGCCATTTCTTTCTGGTGGTTCGCCTCAAAGTATTCAATCAATTCCAAT